TTAAAATTCGCGCGCTGTATATTTTTCGATATTTTAAGTTTATGTAGTTTGGCAGCACTGTCCTTAATTCCTATGCCAAAAATGAGCGCGATCTGTCAGACAGTTCGTTTACGGCAGCTGTTGAAACCAGTTCACCTCAGTAGTGCGTTGCGAAATGTCTTCGACGGTCTTACGACCGTCCTGAAAGGCTTTGTACCACTCATAAACTTGAGTTTTCGATAAAACTGATTCCCCATAAGCCTTTTGTAGCATTCGCAACGATTCTGCACACGAAATTCGTTCGAAACACAAAATTTGATGCAAACTCTTTGTTCAATATTTTTTTCCATTGTTTTTTTCGCAACGCACTACTGAGGTGAACTGGTTTCAACAGCTGCCGAAAACGAACTGTCTGACAGATCGCGCTCATTTTTGGCATAGTAATTAAGGACAGTGCTGCCAAACTACATAAACTTAAAATATCGAAAAATATACAGCGCGCGAATTTTAAATGAGAATTTCCGAAAACTTTTCGGTCTTAATGTAGTTTCTGCAAACAGAAACTATCTAAAATTGTTAAAAGGGCGCCAAATCGTATTTTTTGTATCAGTTTGTTTTCCATCTGTTTTCCCGTTTACTGTAACTCAAAATAGTAGAGCTTGTCTGCGAAAGAATAACTTTATTATTACCCTCTATACTCTAATAGGGACTATAAATTTATGTTTTACTAAATTAAAATTAAACTTATTCTTCAAATTTAGAGAATGTCATTTAGAGTTGTTGTAAATTAGTTTTTATTTTTATATAAAACATTTCGAAGTTTGACTTCTGTCTCAGAGCGGAGTATTATTACAACTGCTCTTGGAGACATATAAAGCGGTTACTTATACTGGGATTTGTTTACAAATTTAGTTTTAAAAAATTAAGAAAATATACAATTTATTGTTTATTGTTAATTAAATTAAATAACCTCCTTTAAACTGGTGTTGCACGGTTATCCCGCCATCAGTAATAACAGGATACTCCACGTAAAGGAGAAGTTGACATTTGAGTCGATGAGGTTATAGGATGCGCATCACGACCTCTTACCTCAAAAAATAGAAATTTAGAATGATTTAAACTCTTGCACATCTCTAAGTGAACAGTAGATAATATAGTCAATTATTGTACTATAATTCATGTGAAGAAGTTATCTTTTAAAAGTATATGTTACTAAGTCATTGTCTTACTGACACCTATTGTCATAGGTGTCTATGTTATTTGGTGAATTTCAAATTCCGTTTATTAAACCAGAAGATACTTTAAATTTGAACTATGCTATGAATGTAATATATCTCATTCATCTTATTAAAGTTGAAAGGACACAGGCAAAACTCAATTGCTCAAACACTTCGGAATATTTCTTTTAATGATTCCTTTACTCGAGGAACTAAAACATATAGTTTTTTCAGATAGAATTGAGAAATTTTGCAAATCATATTATTTGAATTTGATTGATTGATTCATTGACTAAATATGTTGTAAAAATTTTTTTTCTTTCTTTGTAATGGGAAAATTTTTTTTAAAATAGTATTGAAATAGTTTTAATAAAATATGGACGTTTTAGAAAAGGGCACAAAGCAATTTTTGAAATATTCCTGTTACATGACAGCGACTTTACCCATTCCGAGAATTCCCATGTTTAACGTTTTTTTGCGGGTTCTATGGATTCTTTGGCTTTGCTATGCAATTTTCATAATATTTTTTCTGCGCATTCATAGTGGAGACACAAGCATTGGCGGGCTCGTCGGTACGAGTCTCTATTTATCTAATACAACTGTTAATATATTGTGTCTAATAGAGGTTGTATTTAAATTTCGGAAGAGTATACAAATAAGAAAATTAATTCAACAAATTGATGAGCTGCTCGAGAAGTATTTTGACGCAAGCATTAAAAGGTGTCAAAAACCTGGATCGTATATCCGGCAGATTTTCTTAATGCTGGTTTTGCAATTTATATGTGACGGACTTAAAATTTGGATAAATAAATATTGGAATGTATCACCTGTATTGTGGTTCTCAATACCAACTGTATTTGGTTTACGTATACGTTGTGTACAAATAACTGTGATAATAATGAGAATAAATCAAAGTGCAGAGAAATTAAAAATTGCACTCCTCAAATTAGCCGATCACAATAGACCAAAGCATAAATTTAGTGCAGATGTATGGCAACCCTACGCTGTTTGGGAATATGAACATTTGAATGCAATGCGCTTAATATATGGTCGAATATTTGAGACCTTTGAAATAGTGAACGACTGTTTCGGTTGGTCAATTTTACTAATTATTAAAACATCTTTTTTTGATTTTGTTTGCAACGCTTTCTGGTGTTTTGATGCAATGCGACAGCAAAGGCATATTTTCATATTCTATAATATCGGCACTACGTTATCCTTGGCTAGTTTGATATTAATGCTATTTTGGTACTCAGAGTTAAGTTATAGATATGTAAGTAAATTGTATTATTATATATAAAGTATTTTTTCATAACAAATATCAAATATAGTAGACATAAACAAATTAGAACTCTTAATTGGAACGTCCAGATATTATAATCAGACTTTGTCAGACATTGAATGCTGTGAGATTCGAACTTGTGGTTTTTAGATGTTCTGATTCTAATTTTAAAAAGAATCATTTTTCTTTCATTTTTTGTATGCACATTGGTAATAAACTAAACTAATAAAACTGAACACAGGGTGAGACCATACTTGTTATACTTGTTACTTCCCCTAAAAATATAACCAATTTTTCGGTCCTACATAATAACATCGTTACTTCCAAAATTAATCTAAACCTTAAACCTCAAGAATTACTACTAATATAATTAGAAATTAAATATTTGAATATTATCCTCAACCTCCTCCAATTGAGTTTTTGACAAAAAATATGGTAGTAATATCAGCTGAAAACCCACGTACTACTGAGCAGCTATGTCAAAGACCTTTCAGAAGCGGCTCTAATAACTTTAATACTGCAGACGAATCAGACTTTGTGCATTACCAAAAAGATCTAAAAACAACTATTGAAAATTAAAGATAACGCAAGGTTTTAGTACCAAAGTGTAATACTTTCAACATGTACGAGGTCTAAAATACGACGACAAGTTGGAGCATCTACTATGTTAAACTAGATTTAAGTGAGTCGTATAAACTTTCTAAATATTTTTGGTACATTGTGCAAACCATGTTGCAAAATTCGCAAATAACACACAGTTCTTTAGTAATGTATACTTTCACTAAGCATTCTTATCTATTATCACTATGGTTCTGGTCTCTGCTTAGTCTTTGTTAGTCAGCACCAACTGCTCTATAAAAATTTTGGTCCCTATCTTCCATTAATTATCTTTTTCAAGTTTTTAAGAATAATATTCCAAAACGACATATTCATGTCAGTTAATGTATTCCTTATATATATTGCTTATTTAATCTCCAGCATAAAAATTGGTTTAATATAAAAATATACTACTGTTGTTATAATTCCAGTAGTTTATTCGTTTCTGTAAAAACCTGTTGTGATGACGAGTAATTCCTAAACTAGTTCTGGGACATATTCTCAAAGAGACTCTGGGACATATTCCCGTTGCATGCATTTATTTTGTTGAAACATACATATATTCCGAGTATATATACGCGGAGTGAGCTAAAATAGATTTGTTAATCCATTTTGTTGGAATTATTGTGTTAATTATTATTAACACATTAAAAGTGGTTATTATATTTGATTGATAATTGATTGATTGGTTTTCTTAATATAATCTGTGCTTAGTAAGCATTTACCAATTATAGCACATAAACCAATAATATTATTTTCTGTCAATTTGCATTTATGAAGAGTGGACATTTTTCCAAACTAGTGTGTTTCTAAAAGAAGTTTAATTAGTTAGTAACATAATGGAGCAACTACAAAGTGGTAAATCTTCTGGGAGACCAATATTACTATCTGTAAAAATAAAAATTTCCCGTTTTATTGTAATTTTCATTAACGTTTGGTTGTGGTTTTACGCCTATAAACCACTTACAAATCTGCCAATGGTTTCTGAAATTTATTCGTCTTTATGGATAATTGAGATAGTGGTTGCATATTATTTTATAATTTCAACTTTACTTTCTAATGGATTCATTGTTGTACTCGTAGTTAGATCATTTATAATTTCCTTAGGAATGATAGCCCACATAGCGTATTTAATGGAATCAATTGCGTCAAAAAAATTACAGTCAGATATTCAAGAAAAATTTGACAAAATCGAAACATGCCTTAATGAAAAATTGAACTTAGAAATTTCTCCAATTGATAATATTTGGAATAAAACAATTCCAAATTTATATTTGATATTAATAACATTTTATGCCAATGTGATCATAAGTTATACCATTCTAATTGAGCAAAATAATAGTGAAATTGTGAATATTGTTTTTTGGATGCATTTACCAAGTGCCGTGGCTGGGCAAATAAGAATTATAAAGTTTTTAAACCATATTATACGTGTAAATAGAAGTGCACGTGTTATTCGTAGGTCAATTAATGAAATTGGTGAAGCAAATCTGCGACAGATATTTAAATCGTTATGCAAGTTATCGCCGAAGAATAACTTTTTAGAAGTATTACCGCACAACGATAGCGAAGATGAACGACAAATAATGGTTCTGAAGAACATTTACACCGATATTTTTGCTTTGTTCAAATTGTTGAACGAAACCTATGGTTGGTCTTTGCTCTGTTTCACAACAGTTTATTTCATATATTTTCTTAACCATTCGTATTGGTTTTTTGTGGCCTTAGTTTCACTTGACGGTTTTAGAATCATTCAAAATTTATCGTTTTTGGTTCTCATATTTGCTTTTTTGACTGCAATGTGTTGGCGCTGTCAGGAAAGTTTAAATTACGTAAGTTTTATAATAATTGCTAAGTTTATACCCAAATATCACCACTTAATGTTTTATATATTTTAAAGAATTAAAGTTTTTTTTCTTCTTTAGAGTCGAAATATTGGTTGTCTTATCTTTAAGCTTGTGAAGCCTCTTGGAAATAAACGTTACAATGACTTAGTGAGCGAATTCTCCTTGCAAACGCTACATCAACGTTTCGTTATCACAGCAAAGGAATTCTTCAACTTAAATTTGAATTTACTAGGAAGCGTAAGTAGAAGTATTATAAGATATCTAAATAGAATATTTAATAGACACCTTCATAATAAGTATCCGAATAATTTCACTGCGAATAATAAATAATCTCAAATCCGGATATTCGAAAAATCCGATTTTTTTTCAACTCCGGAGACCTCGTTTGTCATCCGATTAATCGGACTCTCCGAATACTTTGTAAAACCCAATACGAATAACACTAATATACATAATAGACATATATGTACATCTATAATATAGTCATATAATACATTGTATATAACCAACATTTGTATTTCTTAATTATTATTATTTCTATTTCTACTTGAGCCACTGCACTTGAGCACTTTCGCTCTTTCTTAACTCGAGGTATTTTTAAAACCCCTCTTTACGCCTTGACTGGATTATTGTTTATCACTTCATCAGACTAAGCAATAATTGACCTCAGATCTGCATACCTCCCCGAGGAGTCTGTAACCATTCTGAGATTTGATATTTAAATTATATGATTTATTTTAATTTTTTATATGAACTAATATTAATTATAATATTAGAATAGCTTCATCACTTATGATTCACAAGTTCGGACAAATTTTCTTATGCCAGAGAATTATATTTTTATTTATAATTAAAGAAAAAGTAATATCACGATAACGAAGTTCTTATATAAATCAAAAATACAATTATCATATTTAATGTTCTTCAAAATATAAACAAGAAATGTACTAATTGTTTTAGAGTTATATTGTACTGCATGAAAGTGCATATGATTCTATATTTCAAAATAAAAATCGTTCTATAATTGCTTGTTCAAAATCATACCAAATCAATGCATTGAATTGCTGGACATATTTGAACCAAACGTTTGAATGATGATTTAAACTCCATATTGTTGTACACTGTATGATATGTTTTATATATAGACTTTTCAAAGCACACGCTCTTATACACAATATATTTTTAAAAATAGCGAATTATGTCCAAATCATATCTAACATATTTAACAAAACATATTTAAAGTAACTTTGTAGAACTTTCTACAAATTATACGGTATAGCAATAAAAAGAATCGATTTATGGACATGTTCACTGCTCAAGTTATGGAAACCTGCAGGAAAAAGAAACCATAAAAGTCTGTTTTTGTGAATGCCCAGCTTTGGAGTCCAGAAGAAATAGGTTTTTGGGAAGATATTTCATTGACAGTTTATCAGACTGTTCATCTGAAAAAACGAAAAACCTATTAAATTATCTAAATTCGACGGAATGGATTTAGTCTATACTCTTCTATCTTAGGGGTTCTTCCGAAAAATGTGGTAGCAGTACCGCGAAAAATCGCTAATTTAGGTACATGAAACTTATCTAATTCAAGTATAATTCAAACTTAAAAGTTGATATTGAGCAAGTTGATCCATACAACAAAAAAGATACTTTAATTGATTTAATATATATACAAAACTAATATAATGAAATAGCTACCGAAAATGATCCTAAATTATCATTATAATCATAACAACCGACAACATTTTCAATATTTTATTCACGATTTTACAAATGTAGCAGGTTAGGTTAGGTTAGTGAGCCTATATGGCACGATTTACCGGAGGAAATAGGTACAAAGATGAGGAAAACTAATGACCAAGAAATGATGCAAAAGTTAATGACCAGTGGTTTGGGGATGCATATGAAAAGTAACATTTGACAGTTACTTTTCGTCAAAGTAAATGATCAAGTTCTTCCCAACGTTTTTTTGATCACTTCAAAAATATTATGAAGAAACGATACGCCTTTAACGGTTTAGGAAGATATTTTTAATAACAATATATTAATTACATTAGCTTTATAGATAATATATATTTTTTTTTAATATTACATATAGTTTTAAGTGTATATATTTTCAAACCTGCATAACCACAACGAAAAAATTTAAATAATTTCACACAATTTTGCTATGAATAACAAATTCACCCGATAAAGTTCCAACTTCAGTAACTTCCATAACTCGAAGTCCAATTTTGCAAAGAAAAGGTTCGACTTATGGAGACATCGAGTTAGAGAATTTTTTTTTAAAGAGAAAAAAAAAGAGATTCCACTTTATTCATACTCTTATAGTGATCATCAGTTGTAGTATTATTCGTTTGCAAATATAAATTCAGAATTTTGAATGAGTCTTCTACTTCATTCTTGGAACGCTGATGAACAATTACATCCACCGAACCTTATCATCACTTTCCGTTGCGCTTAGAATTCGACCCAGCAATTTAGAGCTATAGTCCTCAATAATATCGTCATCTGCAGGAAAGCTTGATATACAAATTTCATTGTCAAGCTCATTATAACCGTTAAGAGTAGCATTGGAAGTTATTTTATTTACTTTAAACCACGCTGCTAGCGACTGGCATGTGAACAAAGAAGCAACATGAGAAAGAAAAAATTAAACATTTGGTTTGGAAAAAGAGACTTCCCTTAACAGCAAAATAGATTCATACTTAAAACAAAAATTCGACTTATAGAATGCACTTTTCCATATTTCTATCGGCACGTGATAATATATTTATTCGAATTATAGAGAAATTTGAGTTATAGAAGTTTGAGTTATGGAAGCAGAATTGTATGTATTTTGCTCTCTAAAACCTTGATGGACTGCTTATGGTTTGAGTTATAGAAAATTCGAGTTATAGAAGTTCGAGTTAAGGAAGTTTGACTATATTTTCCAATTCCAACACTAAAGTAAAAAGATTAATTGTTGAAGAAGAACTCAAACACTTTTATTTAAGAGCTTGAATATATCATATTATATGGATGAATTTGTTGTATTAAATCACTTTGTTTAGAAATAAAAATCAGTCGGAAAAAGTGATGTTTTTAAAAAAAAATTATTGACTTGCTATTGTACAATATCTAAAGTATCTCAGATATGTCATACTCTTGCATCTCATAGTAGATTTTGTACATTTTAATAAAAATTAGAAAACAATGGAATTATAATGGATAACTTTAAATAAAATTTGTTTCATCTATATACAAAATCTATATAAGCACTGGGTAAATGGGATTGAAGTAAATTAGTATTTATTATATATCTTTAGTAGATTAATTAATGTATTTAAATTGTTAATAATTTACAATTAAGCTTTTTATTACCATTTATTTAATTCATATTAATTTTACTTTTAGATGGTTGCTGCTATTGTGACATATTTGGTAATTCTTATACAATTTATGTTGTCGGAAGGAACTGATCAGAAACATCCAAATACTACAAATACTACCGTCTCAGCTATCCTCTCGAATATTTCTTATAATTTTTCGACAACAAAAGTGATTGAAAATGTATTTACTACTGCACTTTCTACTGAAATTCCAGACAGAATTTAAATAAATCATAAATTTATATTGTTGTTCTAGCAAAGAAATAGCACTTATATTTTTATGCGCAAACGTTACCAAAATATTTAAATGCAAACCATATATCTACTTATATGTATATACTTGTATATCTACTTAGAATATTAATCAAAAATAAAACTTTTGCTTTAATTGACATTATGTTCAATAAATCTTTTTATTTAATTAATATTACCTTTTGTATTATCAGAAATAATACCAATAACTTAATAACTTATAGGTGAGTATAGAATAATTGTAGAATAGATAACAATAAATATGAAAAGTTAAACATCCCTGAAAGCTGATATCCTAACATATGAACATATATAACATACCTGAGCTGCATAGTTGCAATAGAGTTCAGACTCGATCATTGACATAAAGGCTTCTTTTCAGTCGAGTTTATTGACGTGATCGTTTTTCAGGATCTCTGACTAGCTGATTTAATTTCTGAAGACAGACCTTTACTAACTTGGAGTAAACAACCTCCAAGCAAACAAGCTGAGCGTTCGATTGGCAGCGTAACTGTATGGCTGAATCTCGCAGAGGATAAAACGTATTGTCCACACGGTACCGTCATTACTTTTTGTACCTAATTTTACCACAAAGCACCACAAAACGTCTTAGAAAGTAAATGATGCTTAAGATTCATTAAAGATTATAACGAAATACTAACAAAAGAGCTACAAGAAGTAGAATTTTATAAGACCACTACATAGGCGCTACATATCTCAACAAACAGTAGACATACAGAAAAATTCTTAAACATTTTATAGAATATTTTATATGGGAGCCATCGTAGAAATAGAGAGAAGCTAAGTTCCATAAAAACGTTCTGTAAGAAAAAATAATGTGACCAATCAAAACATCAACGGTTGTAAATGGTCTGTTAAAATAAAGATAATGATGGTAATAGCTTAAATATCGCTGTAAACGAAGTAACTTAAAAATTTAAAATACTTTCAAGCGACAGGTATTTGTCTTCAAGATTGTTCAGAAAAGAAGCTGGAATACTAAAATGAACAGCTTCTCAAGTATTATTGAAAATTTGAATAAAGAAAAAGTCCTTTAGTGCTTACAACTGGCGACAAGAAGACATGAGACTTTAACATTGCAAAGACCTGCTAAGATCCCGAAAAAAATCATCAAACATGTCAATGTATAAAAAAACAAAACATCAGAATAGATTACGATTTCAGATCAACAAAGTTGATCAATCTTCTAAAAGGTCAGACGGTGAACGCAGACTATGATCTAGGACTTTTTTATGATTATGGGTCAGACAAATTGCGCGACAACTCACCATTGTATGTTATAAAGTCTTTATAATATTGAAATTTTTGACCAATAAAGGCTATTATTATTGTTTGTCTACCGTATTCACCAATTTTATTCCATAGTTTCTTTAAACTGAAAGTAAAAATAAAATAATATCGTTTCGGTTTCATCCCGTTCATCTAATTCGCTTCGACCGACGTACATAAAAAATGTTTCGAAAAATCCGTAAACCGTTTTCAGAATTGTGTGTACTCAGAAATAGGGGTGATGCCCTATACTCAAAATTGGTAAATAAACAGGTATGAATAATATTTATTTGTCAATTATCAATTATCGAATTTATAGATAAAAGTATAAAACATTTATTATATTTTAATATTAGAAAATTGTATATATTATTGTTTAATCAAAATTAATCATTGATGGATGCTTTTAGTAACAAAATCAATAATTTGATGTCATTCAAAATTCTAGTCGTTTGATTGATGTGGGAATAATTATTTGCACTTAAATACTTTAATGATTCAATGAATGTCAATTGACTAAACGTTAACATTGTTTTAGTTTTTATAAATTCTCTAAAGTGCCGAGTCGTGATTTATGTGAAATAAAAAATGGATATATTAGAAGCCGTTGGGGTATTATCATTAATATTACGCTTCTGCAATTTATCTCAATGGATTCTCAATAGAAAGACTCATTCACTTCAGAAGTCTCAACTATCACAAACATATAATGTAGTAATTATTATAATGTCGGTGGCAGTTATCGTTATTGGCTTCATATATAGGGGATCTTATGTAAATTTTATTGGTAGCACTGAAACTAAAGTATTTATTATACAGTCGAATGGCATAAGATTTGCTCATTTGATTTCTATAATAGAGACCATAGTGCGCCGTATTGATCAAAAAACATTTTACGAAGACGTTAGAGAAATTGATTTAATATTTCAATGTTCTCTTAACGTCAATATTGATAATGGGTAAGACCTTGAAGTATTTATAATGCGTTAAGTACATAAAAATTATATCTTATATCTTACATCTCATGTTTAAAATGTTTTATTTTTATATCCGCTTTACTGTATCTATTTAAGTATTTATGTTCTTTACAATTTTCATTGTGTGTCTGTTCTATTAATGTTTGAGGTAAATGAATTAAACCAGTCTCCCAGACCAGAGAGATTAAATTGACAAATATATGAAATAATATGGCAATACTTGCTCAAAAAGTATCCGGATTTTGTTATTTGTTAACTACTCCTTAAGTAATAGACCTTTTTCAAAATTTTATATGTATATAATTATTACTATTTTACTCACTTGCATATTAGTTATATATGAAAAGACTAATTACTTTTATAGACTATAGAAAAAAAATTAATTATGATTTTTATTTTAAGAAAATTTCGTCAAGAAATTATAAGTCGTGGCCTTATAATGTTTTTAATATATCTGTTATCTGTCGCTGCGTTCTTAATGCCGAAGTTTATAGAAATGGATGGTGTTTTAGCAATATATTGGATTTTATATGCACTTCCATTATTCGTCTGTGGTCTACGATATTTTCAAATATTTTGTGCAATAACAATAATCAAACGTCGATTTGAACAGCTGAACACGGTGTTGGGTGAGGTCAATTTGCAACGCGGTGGAAATCGAAATGAAGATATCAATAATACCCTGCCTGTTTCTATTAAGTTGACATCTAAAGCATTGCCCATTTATGAAATTAACGAACGTATTAATCGTATATATGAAATGGAAAATCCTGAACTAAAACGATTGCTGATAATACGGGAAATTTATAATCGTCTCTGGGAAATAACAACTATTTTCAATAGAGCCGTTGGTGTTTCTTTGCTAATCAATTTGGGCAATGATTTTATATCTTTGACTTCAAGTTTTTATTGGATATTTCTTAACTTGAAATCTTTTGCTGCTGATTCTTCAAACTTACTTACGATAGTAGCGAATACTATATGGACTTTTCCTCATATTTTCAATATTTTAGTACTGGCAGTGATTTGTCAAAGCACAGTTCAGACTGTATGTATATGATAATGAAATGTTATATTAGTTAATTATATACTTCTTACTTTTTAGACAATTAATATTGCTTTGGCTCTACATCATACTAAAAGTGATATATTAAATGATAATTATAATACTGTGGTAAGTTACCATGTACTATGTAAGCACGGAGTATTTTATACATTAAACACACATTTTCGATAAGCTGAAATTACAGCTACGTTATGAAAAACTCGAATACATATAAGCTAAAAAAGACATAAGTGAGATAAAAGTGAGAAACCACGAGGGTGGTTTCATAAGTCAGTGAATGTCCCGCGCAGTTACTCCAAATGCAACAGTGCTGCCGTTAGCTGTAATCTACCAGTGGGCAACTTTTTAATTTTGAGCAAGCGACGTCATTCAGTTGGTGTTTGATAGCCATTCAAAGCAGACAACCTCGTGAATTTTTACGAAAATGGAAAAAAGTGAATTTCGTGTGCAAAATCCACGAATTGGAATGCGAACTACTACCCCATCAAGCATATTCTCCAAATTTAGCCCCGTGCGTCTTTTTTCTTTTTCCAAACCTAAAGAAATGGCGAAATTCACTTTTTTCCATTTTCGTAAAAATTCACGAGGTTGTCTGCTTTGAACGGATATCAAACACCGACTGAACGACGTAGCTTGCTCAAAATTAAAAAGTTGCCCACTGGTAGATTACAGCTAACGGCAGCAGTGTTGCATTTGGAGTACCTGCGCGGGACATTCAAAAAGTCACTGACTTATCAAACCACCCTCGTATAACTACATCTAAGTTATGAAAACCTTGAGCTGTTGAAAAAAATTATTATGTTTATATATAAATAGATCACATAATGAATAGAACTACAATCTAAGAAGCATTTTCATGTGGGAAGAATTTTAATCTGCTGTTTATTTTGTACAATTTTAATTAACACCTCATAAATTTTTGATGTGCTCTTAATAGTATTTAAATTTAATTAGTTGATTAATAATTATTTTCATTTTAATTTATTTAAGATTGAACAGTTTTCTTTGCAATTGCTTCATCAGAAATTCGCATTTTCGGCGGCCGGGTTTTTCAATGTGGATTGTACTTTACTTTACACGGTTTGTAAAGAAATAAAATAGAATTAATAAAAATAATAATAATAAATGAATTAAAAAAATATCTTTACAGATTGTTGGTGCTATAACAACATATTTAATCATTTTAATACAATTTGATATGTATCAACCACCATCATCGACAGATTAAAAATTTTAATTAAATAATAAATATATTTTTATATATAAACTCAGAAGTTCAATGTATGTGCACAAATTATATATTTTGTTGAAAAATAATATATTAAAAACATTGTCAACAGCTAAAGAAACTTGAAAATAATTAATTAATTAAAAATAAAATTTGGCACTGCAATTGGCGAATATATTTGTCTTTTCTAATTTTTTTTAAAGCTTAATTAAAATATTCGATCGGCCTCTTCTACTTGATCTATCGAACGAGAAACACGTAATACCGGACAAATTAAAGTAATATTTAACTTATATAATAAAATATACGAATACAAGTATTTTCATATTTTACACTTGGATAATAAAGTTAGTTATATGATTTTTACCTATTTTAGCGTAAAATTGAATGTATGTATAGATCTGGAACATATGATTTCCAGATCCTGATTTCAACAGAACAGTGCCAGAATCGACAAAGCACGTTCCATTTTGAGTTTTTTATGCGAGAAATTTTCCGAAAGTGATAATGTTTTAAAATGACGTTTTGTCATTACCAAAAAATGTTTTTACGACCATATGATTATAAAAAAAAGGGGCCAAATGATACAAATTGTAACCTCTATGGCACCAAAAATCCACAAGTAACTGTTAAAAAAACCATTACATCTGTCTAAAGGCACTATGTGGTTTATGACGATAACATTTAGTGTGGATATGTAACAATCTCGTAATATTTTGAAAAAGACAAAGCTGTGATACAAACCACCAATTCTGGAAATTACAGTTTGTAAGATGTAGATGTAGATCTAGAAGATGTGTGGTTTTAATAGGACGACGCCACAAGCCCCAAAACACATTTCGTTTTGAATTTGTTGTGCGTGAACTTTTCCAAAAGTGTGAATATAAATTGGATACCACGATAATGTGATTTGTTAAAACAGATATTTTTTGATTGGGTAAAGCAAATGAAAGTGTTTTGTATCGATTATATTCAAACTGTTGAAACTTTGAACATACATATATGTATATCCGTTAAGTTATAGCAGAGCTATGTGGGCACAAGTCACGTAAACTTGTTGTCACAACTTTTGCAGTGCTATAAAATTTCGAAAACATTTGAATGACATTATATTTGAAACTGTAAAATAAGATCTTTTTTGTAGACATTCTTCGTATTTCAGCAAAATACTAACACGATAAATTGTCAAGGAACACGATATATAAAAAAAAATGTCAAAATTTTAAACATGGAGTTTTGAGTCAATTTTTCGTGCAAAATAGATATTAGTATTATACTTTCATTGGTCCAGAGCCCTTCTGCGGGGTAACAAATAGTTCCACAAATAACTTATTATGTGAACGGAAGAAACAACGTCTACTTGAACACTGGAGAGCCCAAACAGGCATGCGTCAGTGAAGAAGATTTATTGATCCTGAACACATCAAAGTTGATGCTATCCTTGGCCTTAGCAGAAACGATATTAAAATCTACACTGAACTTCTTATAGAACACTGTAGACTTAATTACCACATAAAAATTATAAAAAGTGACTCCTGTCGACTATGGCATGAGGAGAAGGAAACATCAGAACATATTCTATGCAACTGCCCAGCGGTGGCAAGACGTAGACTCGACTACCTTGAAAACGGGATCTTAGTCCCAAATCAAATAGGTAAAATTAAGCCCACAGCAATTACGAGATTTATAAACAGTCTAGAATTGCTTTAGTTGGGCTTTTAAGCGCACAATAAATCCTTTAGATCGGGGTGCATTCATAGCATATTATTTAATAATAATAATAATACTTTATACCAAAGCTGATATATATATGCAATATTTCCAAAATTGTAATTGTCATCATGTAATCGAATAACACATTAATAGATTTTATTTGCATTATGATATTATATGTCAATTTATAAATATAAAATTTTTATACTTTTTTAATATTTGTTCGCATATTTAATTGTATTTAATCAATAAAATATAATTAAAAAATATATCAAATAGCGTTCAGTGTTTCTTAAATTATATCATGTTTTCGAAAACTAAAAATTAAAAAATTATAAAATAGCTCTATATACGAAACTATATCTTTAATTAAGAAGTTATTATACAGTCGTATATGGATTAATAAACTATACAATAAATTTTATTTAAATTATTTATTATAGCTTAATTTAAATCCTTAAATTGTAGTCTGGTCTTCTAAGATGTGTTCAAATCTCTTGTTAAGAATTGTATAAGTATTATTAGATGTGTTGCAATTGCCACACTTATCTGAAATATGTAGAAGAACGTTCATATAATCATGATATAAAAGTCCCATTAAATTACAATAGCACTTTTATTGCTTTGGCATAGATGAAAACTTACCGACATTATAAATTGTAAATCCAATTTATAAAATTGTTTTGCAGAAATTTGAATCTGTTGATGTTGTAATTGTAATAGCAAATCATATAAAAAATTTTTGGAAGTTTTGTCCTTAATACCTTTACTGTTGATTAGTTTCGTTACTAAGCTAGTCATATATTGTCCCTAGAAGTTCATTTTAGATAAGTAATCTAATAAGAAATGTTTAACAAAATTTTAGTGCACACTTTCTGTGATATGTACTATCTGTATTTACTAAGTGGTCTGATCGAAAAATATATATTTTGCCAATAATATTAAATATTTTTTAAATAATAAAACAAAATATAGTGAAAAAATGCACTATAGAAATTATGTCTCCATTAGATACATATAAATAGCACTTACTTGCAATTCACATTCATTACAAGTCAGACATAAATTACAAACAATTATTCCCAGTGATATAAGAACTGATATTGTACCCAGAATGGAATAATGAGGCTGCAAATTATCGAAAGCCAGCAGTAACCAATAAGTACGACAGGTGAAGTCAAAGAAATAGGAAGCTAATATCGAAAAGATTGACCAGCCAGCAAAATCGTTTAGTTGTTGTACAGCATCGAATACTAATCCAAAAGTGTCCTTAACAACTGATAAATATTGTTCAGTTCCCAAATTCTCCAAACGTGTATCTAATATATGTGCAGGTTGCTTTGTATTTAATATTACAAATTGATTAAATCTTCTATTAAGTTCCTTTAAGTAATGCTCTATAACATTCACATAGCACACTATTTGCAAAATACGTACACGTAAAGTAATTACAGTAAAAATAGCGTACCAGAAATTACCAGCATTATCATTCAATGCTAATAAGCCGTATATAAATGCGAAGAGACATATCAATGAAGTTATTGCCATAAAACAGAAGTTGTTTCTCATTTTTCGGTATAAGATGTGCTTATTTGATTTCTGCTTAAAACGTATCTCAAAACTTGTTTCAATTTCGTATACGCGTTCGAGGAATACTCTATGGGCTTTATCCTTAAAGAGCGCTTCCAATATGATGATTATGTGTGAAAACATCTGTGAACCAAATACTATAAAAGAAACAAGCCATGAGAGCACCATACCTTTCTCTATCTTTCCAAGTACTGTAACAAGTATAAATGAAACACATGCTTGTATAATTATTAGATAAAGATATATATTATTCAATATATTCCATTTATTTGTAAACTTCGTTGCTTTTACTTTACATAATCCAAATATGTTGCCTATCCGTACTAAAAGTTCTAGTTCGTTCATCACTTCGTTGAAAGTTTCACTAAAACTAATTTAAAAATTTATTCTTAATATAATACAAAATTGTGTCCAATGGACTTTTGATTTTAATTACTTTCAGCAGATAAGAATATTGATTAAATAAATGGAATTGTTCGCGCTCATTTGCATTTCAATACATATTGGTAATTTTTGCATTCTTGAAATAATTTTAAACAACAAACTGCAGTCTGTAATGGTTATAACTGCGTAAATTAGTTAAGGTATTATTGTGATTTATGGACACAGTCAAGAGAGGACATGTGGTGCACCCTCCTTTTAAAAGTGTGATGATAATAATAGTTCTAAGAAAAAGACGACCATGGGGTACTCAAAATGTCATACATCGATGACAAAGATATGGTCCCTTGTATGTGAAGGAGTCTTGCAGTAATTCATTTTAACAGAAATGGAACAATATATACGTAAATATAGGTTATATCTCATTTGCAACCTTTTTTAAATTAAATTAAATTATTTTTAAATAATTTAATTACAAAAAAAATAAATTAGAGCACTTACACTTGATGAAAGGCAATGTAGTAAAAATTGTAGTGACAAATTAATTTTGATTCTGATTGCACTTTTTAAGTTTTCTTTTAATGGCGACTAATGACATAAAAAATTATTTTTTTTGTTACAGTATTAATTTGAGTATAATATTTCGAATTTTCTAAAAATATATAGTGATATAAACAGTGATGAAATGGGATCGACACAGTTGTGTACCCGAGAAGTGTTTAGGTGATATTATACCCCCTGGAAATTTAATTTCTAGATAACAAAAACTATACACACGGCTCAAAAAAAGTATTTTTTTTGTATATAACCCTCTCTTAACGCAATCCTGGCGACGCCACTGGATAAATAGTACCCTTTTAAGACAGACATTTAGCGAGGGGTGGACTGACTATAGTTGGCTAAGCTTTTCTAAATTAATCTAAAGACAATATGTACACGTACAGTGATTCAGCAAAATAGTAGCAACAACTTTATTATCACACTTTAAGTTTATATATAAATTGATATATATATATCACACATATAAAAAAATTAAAATTCGACAAAAAATGAAATGATCAAATTTGCAATTCGATCAAGTCCCCCATCATCAAAATTTTTTTTCAATAATTTAGTTTTATTTTTTTTTTTTGTTAAACAAATGAGTCAGCTTTAAAATATCTGACAGATTATATCTTGTATTCCAAAAACTAAAATTTAACATTCGAAATAAATTTTATTGAGAACGAAGGTAGAGTTGTAGATACCCCCTTAAAAAATTCTGAACAGACTAATCACAAAAAGTTTTACTAAAGATTTTATCCGCATTCCACATT